AATTCATGCATTATTTTTCAAAATAGAATCGATTTCAACTTTTATTGCCTCTTTCCAATGTTTAGCATCTAAAGAAGATATAGCTTCAAAATAATTTGATGGTTCATTATCGACAAGAAAAGTTTGAAAATCATTTCCATAAGAAAATATTCTTTTCTGTGCGTTTTGCTCCTTCTCAATTCCTCATTAGAAGTAATTTCAATATTTATTTCAAAAAGTGTATGAGAAATTTTATCATACAATAGATAAATATATTCAAAGAACTCAACATTCTTTGTCTCAATTATAGTATTGCATCCAAGCACATCACTTTTTAAAATAAAAAATCTATATGCAACACAATGTTTAGCATATCCAATAAGCATGCAATTAGCAGTTTTAAAACATATTTTTCTCTTTTTAGGTTCAGGCAAAAGAATTTTAGCAAGGCACCTCCACACTTTTAAATATTTCAAGTTAGGTTTATAATCCTTCCATAATTCATACGGAATTTTGCCAGTTCTTCTATGTGGTATTCTATTTCGTAAGTGACATGCAGATAAAATAGCTTTACCCCACAAATTATCAGGTGCATTAGAACTTACTAACATTGAATTCATCATCTCTTTTAATGTTCTATTTTACTTCCAGGTACTCCATTTGATTCAGGTGAATAAGGCGGAGTTACCTCATGAATAATTCCATTCTTTTCACAAAAATCATTTAAAGAAAAATATTCTTCACCTCTATCTGATCTAATTCTCTTGATTTTTTTACTAAGTTGATTTTCAACCTCAGTTTTATAAGAAATAAAAGCATTAAAAGTATTATCCTTATTTCTAAGCAAATACAACTTAGTATATCTAGAAAAATCATCAATAAGTCACATAATATCTTTTACCAACTCTAGTCATAGTCTGATTTAAATCACCTAAGTCAGTGTGAATCAAGGATAACAATTCAGTTTCTCTATTTACAGAAAAATAAATCTTTCTAGTACTTTTAGCTTGAGGAAATTTTTCACACTTGTTAATATTATTTGAGTCTAAATCAGATATTAATCCTAGTGACTGCATTTTTCTTATATATACACTATTAACATATCCTAATCTAGCATGTCATAAATAAATAGACTCAACCATATAAGCAGAAGAAGATGCATTTCATTGCTAGTATCAGAAATATTAAGCACAAATAAACTACGGTTACAATATCCTTTGCTCACAAAAATATTATTTTTGGTCAATACAACCTCATACTTTAAAATGAACCCTTCACTCCAACTTTTTCTAATAACACCACAGAAATCATATTTGTTTGGATATTAGGAACATGCAATACATCATTCAATGCTAGAGTTTTACTAGATGAGTTTAAGAAGAATTTTTCCTTTTCCAAGAACGCGAGTTGTTCTTGAGTCACCAAGATAAATAGTTTCTTCTCCTTCCTCAACTTGGATATAATTTTTGTCTGCACAAATGTGCCTAGTAGCACGAGAGTCTATCACTCAATTTCTCACATTGGCCATATTATTTATTTGAGAAATGACCGTGACAATTATATTATCCGCTCTAATCAAATTTAATTTTGACTTAGCGAGATTATCATTTATCCCAACTCTTCTCTTGCATTGATGTGCATTTTTCTTGAAGGTTTTAATATTAGCATTGGATATGTAACCACGTCTATTCACATACCTGTGTTTTGACATTAGTATCTGCCAAAGTTGTGGATGCAATAACGTATTTGCAACACCATGGATATCTGGCAGGATAGTTGGAACAGTAGCAGTAGAGACAACACCAAAATTGGTAGCACCATCAAAAATTTCCATAGTAGAATTACTTGCCATAGTTTCTTAGATTGTAGCGAAATGACACCGGAAAATAACGATAATAATACTGCAATAATATTATTTGTAAGTAGATACACAAATTAGCTTGAGTCATGCTGGGCACTATCCTAAGAAACTATTTCTGCAATGTGAAATGTTTCTCCAGGATTAAACAAGCTCATCTCTATTTATTTAGAGGATACAAGAATCAACAAAATATTAATAATAAATCCAGCAAGTTGGAAAACTATAAAAGAAATAACTTGTGAATGACAATTTGGACGAAATGGTACTACAGAAGAAAGCTTAATAATTGTTATGATAATGGCTACATAGTTAGGTAATGATTGAACCACAAAGGTGAAGATAATTTTCTTTCTTTTGTGATAATCCGGATGGGGCACGACAAGAATAATGGTGATAATCTTGACAAGTGGTTTAACACTTTGTCCATGAACAAACATGCAAAATGCCACTCTTTCTCTTGGAAAGATACTTGGACAAAATAAGTCATTTGTCCACAATAACTTTGAAATATTGCCACAAGCAAAAACTCTTGCCATGTACCAATTATCTAAGAGTATTTGGCCACAAGGCTTCATGCAAGAAGCCACTTAGAAATAGATAGGACACTTATAAAATTAAAAAGATACATGGCTATTAAATTTTTTAAAATACTACCACAAGCACTACCATCACTTTCCACTTTGTTTTTCTTCAATTCTTTCATTGTAGATCTCCACTTAAAGAAAGTACCAAACAATTCCTCCATCTCCTCTAATGTTCTACCTTGTGTTTCTGGTAACAATGTGTAAAAGAAAATCCAAGCAATTATTGCAATTCCAGTATACAAGAAGAAAGCCCCTCCAATACTAATAGCCTTGTATAATGATATGAATGTCATCAAAATTGCTCCACTCATTGCTCTATTCACTGCCACACCTATGCTACAACCTTGAGCTCTTAATCTCAATGGAAAGATTTCTGAACTGTATACCCATGCTATAGGACCCATGCCAATTGAGAAGAATGCAACACTAGATAATGTTGTACATATGCAAAGGACTATTGCCCATTTTAGCTTAATTACGTGGAGCATGTTGTACCTCCAATACAAAATGCTTTCAAGTAAGGTAGACACCTTTTTAACAAGGTATTAGAGCAGGCGGACATACATAGGTGCGATAGATAATCAACAGCACAATTGAACTCAGCTATATATTATTGCAAGTATAGTCTGTCGTTGTCTTTAGTAGTGCCTGTTGAAAATGAGATTAGGTGTACCCTCTATATATAACAACTTAGTTAAGCTTTTAAATGATACGGTCACATGGTTCAACATGATGTATATTAGAGCATACCAAGGTTCTGATTTCAATTTTCTTCGTCACCCATTATCAAAAGAATTTTCAGGTGCTTGACTCATGAATAATTAAGTATAGAGAAGAGGTTCGAATTTAACTACTACGCTAAATGATTTTGCCCTCTGTTATGCTTTGGAGTCATCCATACTCTTAATGTTAGCAAATTGTATCTTGTATTTGTCCTTGATTTATATAGAGCTCCAGCTTGAACTAGGCACATATCCATGTGTCAAAATAATTCAAGAAAAAGTCCAAATTTACCCATCAACAATAAGTATTAACTATGCTTTGGAGTCATCCGTTGGTTTGCTAGGAATTCTTTCATTGCAAAAGGAGGTAGTTGTACAAAAACATTTATGGAGGCATTGTAGGCTAATGTGGTCTCATATTTGGCGAGCGTGTCTGCTACTTGATTTTGCTCCCTGTGTGCATTACCCATGGTCTATCTAGCTGGTGTAATAGGTACATGCATTCATGCGTTAAGGATGAGTATTGTGGATTGATGTAGCGGAGTAGAGAAATTACCTCAGTGGAATCCACATTAACTTCCAATGGTGTGAGTTTGTGTTGGAGAGCAAGTCGTAAATCTTCTTGTAGGCCAGTGAGTTCCATGTAGTGATGATTTTCTGTTGGCCTTGTACCCGTATAACCGAGTAACCAATTTCCCGTTGAATCTCTAATTACACCCCGAAACCCCCTTTTTTGGTCCGTTAAACTATAGGCGTCATCTGAACTTAATTTGTAATACCTATTTGTAGGAGGATTCCACTTAACATCTATGTAAGTAGATTTAGGAATATATGTATTATGATTAATACCCAGGTGGAAATACTCAGTAGCTTGACCTAGGATGTGCTGAATATTTGGAGGATGATTGATGTTTTCAAAAGCAAGGCGATTGCAACTTTTCTATATGTGCCATAAGGTATAAGGAATGATAGTAGGAGAGTTTGGTAGAGTTGTAGTAGGGTTATTGTGGAGGAGGAAGCGTGAAAGTTTTAAGTGAGTTTGTTCGTGGAATGTGTTGAGATTTATAGATACTGAATGCCTAGCTGTTGCCATATTGTTTGTGCTTGGTGGCATTCAAAAAACAGATGTGCAATAGTTTCTTCAGTGAGTTGGCACACCCGGCACAATGAATTCTGGGTAATATGAATAGTGTAAAGATAACTAGTCGTTGGCAATCGATGATGGCACACTAGCCAAAGGAAATGTTTTATTTTTTGAGGTAGTTGTAGGTTCCATAACCATTGGAAAGAGGTGTTGTTTGATTTGGCACGTAATTGTCTATAGAGGGATTTAACTTTGAAAAGCTAGTTTGGTGTGAGACACCAATAAATGTGATCATGAGATTGATGATTAGTGATGGTAGGGATATATTGACTATGGATTTTGTCATGTAGATCTTGAGGGAGCATGCCATATAAATATTTTTAAGATCAAACAAGGTGAAAATTAAAGCTTAAGATGATTTTTATCGTATATTTGATAAATAGTGCACTTCAATTTTTTTGAGATTTTGGTGTTATTACCATTGAGATTGGTGCAGACTATCATTGCTTTAACATTTGCAACACCTTTCTTTTAATACTCTCTTTTAATGCAAATTCTAGTGAGAGGAAGACTGCGCAGAAACCAAAAGAAAAAGGGTTTTCAAGAAGTTATAGTCATGTTTTCCTCCCCCACACAATTTAGAATATCTCTATGTAAACCAGTGATCTCTTACACGTGCTTTGCTTATTATAATATTAACAAAAACTTATGCGGTAATTAGAACTTTATGGAGTATGTTTCCGAAAGATAAAATAAAAAGAAATAATTAATAGCCAAAAAACATGGAAGACACATATGTTTTGGAATTTTAAATGGGAAACAAGTAGTGTAAGTTCTGTGTAGATGATGAGTTGCAATATAAGATATTTATGATTACTACCACTAAATGGAAACAGGATATAGATTTTTGAAGACTTCAAAAAATATACTCTACCACACAGTTAGCATATGATGGAATCCCATGTCGGAGATGAATGAGTTCCTTAGACTCTTTATGGCTTGAGCAATCTTTTCTCTTTACGCTAACTTTTGGGGTTGAATTAGATGCAATGTTCATTCTTATCATGATATCAAAGCCAAGCCCCCGATATTAGGCCCTAGGATAGATTGTTCACGCTCCAGTTGGCAGGTCAGAACACCATTTAAGGCTGGCTATTTCCCATTTGAACTTGAGCACTACCATCACTTTCCACTTTGTTTTTCTTCAATTCTTTCATTGTAGATCTCCACTTAAAGAAAGTACCAAACAATTCCTCCATCTCCTCTAGTGTTCTACCTTGTGTTTCTGGTAACAATGTGTAAAAGAAAATCCAAGCAATTATTGCAATTCCAGTATACAAGAAGAAAGCCCCTCCAATACTAATAGCCTTGTATAATGATATGAATGTCATCAAAATTGCTCCACTCATTGCTCTATTCACTGCCACACCTATGCTACAACCTTGAGCTCTTAATCTCAATGGAAAGATTTCTGAACTGTATACCCATGCTATAGGACCCATGCCAATTGAGAAGAATGCAACACTAGATAATGTTGTACATATGCAAAGGACTATTGCCCATTTTAGCTTATGATCTGAGTGATCAATTATGGTTAAGCCTGTTGCTAGGCCTAATAAGGAGAGAATCATACCACCACAACTTGATAGAAGTAAAACTCTTCTTCCAACTTTGTCTACCAAGAATGTAGCTACCAAGATAAAGAATGTCTTCATACATCCAACAGCTATAGTGGCAAGTAGTCTGTCGTTGTCTTTAGTAATGCCTGTCGAAGATATAATTAATTAATTAAAAGTGTAAGTTGTGTAGTAAGTTAAGCTTTCAAGTAAAGTAGACACTTTTTAACATTGTATTAGAGCAGGCAGACAAACATAGATACAATATATAATCAACAGCAGAGTTGAACTCAGCTATATATAGTTGGATGTAGTTTGTCGTTGTCTTTAGTAATGTCTGTCAAAAATGAGATAAAGTGTACCCTCTATAAATAACAATTTAATTAAGCTTTAAAATGACATGGTCACATGGTTCGACATGATATCTTGTACTTGCCCTTGATTTGTATGGAGCTCCAGCTTGAACTAGGTGCATATCCATATGTCAAATTTATTGAGGAAAAAAGTCCAAATTTACCCACCAATATTAAATATGTTGAACATTAGAGTCAAAGGCAAATACAAGAAGATTTGTAGATGGCAAGAGTATAAGTGGCTCCAAAGTCTATAGATAACTGATGGTAAAATTAAGATATTTCATAGATTAGGGTAATTTTTAACACTTTTCCCTAAAGTAAATAAAAGGATGCTTCTCTAATCGCTTAAACTTTTAGATAAACTAATCAGGCAGTTCAACAATATATACGTACATACCTGCTTTCTCGTATATCCTCGGACTGTACAAAACTACAGCATCTATACCACTTGCTTGTTGAAAGAAATGAATGCCAATACCTGCAATGAGAATATGAAGAACAGCAGGGGTTGGATGGAGGAACAATTCTCTCCAAACACCTTCACCATGAGAACTACGTCGAGTGACAGAAACTATATTGTCATCTTGGCAATCTTGTGGAATACCAGCAGCTTCTTTTATGTCAGCTAATCTCATTTTGGACTCTTCTAATGTATCTGAAGTTCTGTCCAAAACTCTTTTGGCATCTCCAAGACGACCTTGCATGACTAGCCAACGTGGTGACTCGGGCATGGCAAGAACACCAAGGGCTAAGAAGACTGATGGAATGACACCAATTCCAAGCATGAATCGCCATGCCAATTTTGTTGGGAGCTTTGAAAATGCATAGTTTGATACATAACCAAGTAACACACCTGCCAAAAGGGAAAAAAGGAGTGGTAAGAATATACTCCCTCCGTTTCAATTTATGTGAACTCATTTGACTGGGCACGAAGTTTAAGAAAAGAGAGAAGACTTTTGAACTTGTGGTGTAAAATGAGGCACATATATTTTGTGTGGCTATAAATCATTGCATAAAGGTAAATTGATTCCAAATAAGGAAAGGAGTCATTCTTTTTGGTACGAACCAAAAAGGAAATAGGTTCACATAAATTGAAAGGGAGGGAGTAGTAATTAATTATACCTTTTTTTAACCCCACCCCACCATCACATCACGAGTATCAATAGTGTTCCCACTTACCCTCTAGCTTGAGTCAAACCCTCATCCACTCGACCTCCTGAAATTGTGGAAATTTTCAACTACTAGGGCAAACCTCACTTGTCAATTAATTACCTTTGGAATTGTAATTTAGGTTATATATGTTGCGGAAGCCAAATGTATATAGTGTGAATAAGTCACAACTTCTATACCAAAAATTATGAC